AACATAACATACTGTTTTCATCCATTTCTTAACTTTGTGTTTGAGTTATTGATCTTACAAATATTCTTGATATAAATGTGGTATTGAATACATCATCCATTTGTTTCTACGTTTCTATGCATGGAAAGTGGCGTTTGCGGCACTTTCTGTTTGGTTGGAAAAATCTTATTTAAAATTGGTGAGCTTCAAAGCAATTCAAACTCACACCAGCAGGACGCTGCATCATTAAAAAGAGCTTTAAATTTATCCCCTTGGATGCATCAAGATGTCAGTGGCAATCTCTGGGGGCTCATCAACAGCCTACCACAGATAATTCAAGCTTTGTGCAGGAGAAGCAGAAAAAGGTAAACAAAGGTCATTCCAAATACCTTCATTCACGAGGAACTAACACAACAAGCGGATAGCTGAATTATCAGGAAACCAACTGAAAAGGTCATAGTGGATTGACAGAATGATATTTATTCGTAAAATCAAAAATCACATTTTTCATTTTGCTTCACTTCTACTGTGACTTCTGAATTGCCATTTATTTTTTTAACATAGACACCAGGAAGAGTAGCTCACACTTTTTGAAAGCGTAAGTGGATCCAAATAAAGAATAACAGTTTATTTCTTTAGCTCTTTACTGCAATAGTATTCTCAAAGGGCTTCACAGACCCCCATCAGAAAGGATACTGGTCCTCCATGCAGGCAAGGAAAACTATCATGAAGAAAACCGGAGGAAACATTTAGCCACCTGTTACATGGTCTGTGCTCTTCTCTATCCTACGGGGCATTCTGACTTTTTTTTTATTGTATGGCAGAACAGATTTCCACTTGACCCCACTGTAATAGTTATGTCAAGGGTAAAACAGATACCATGCTCAAAGTAAGGTCCAAGCACTTACTGCTGGATTGCTTTTGCTTTCACTTGAAGTGGAAAGTCTGTCTTGTCATCATGTCATCATGCCCATGGCCTTTTCAACTAGATATAATAGACTAGATCCATCTCTCAACACAACCAGCAGTCCCAAACCATATTTTCTGGAAATTGGCTCCAGGACCAGTGACAAAAAAGGATCACACATGTCCTGGGGAACATTCACATCGTTTTTTAAAAAAACAAAAAACATCTTCCTTTTATATTTTAAATGAATACAGTGTCCATCCTGACAGGTCCCAGCAGCCCCATATTGGCCAGCCCTACCACCATAACCTGCGTCTCTCTCAGATAAGAATGCAGTGTGATTAAAGGGTCAGAACACATGAAACCAGGCTGTTTTGGTAATGTTTTAAGATGCATTCCAGGCAACAATGCTTGTATACCAACCCTGTACAGACAAATATTGCACAGAAGCAACCTTTTTGGCCGGGATTTAGGAGCAGCCACAGAGATAGATCCGGTTATATCCAGGCTTATTTTGAGTGATTGTGCTGGATCAGCTGTGGTTTACTTCTGATGATGTAATGACGTACTTACCGGTAAGCACAGGTGTCTTCAGCAAAGTTTTTAAGAGTGGTTCCCTGCTTGGATTTTATGTTCCTTGTACCCATGTCACTGAATGTAAACATAACTTTTTGAAAGAAAACTAAACAGAGCATCTTTAACTGACGAGTCAGAGGGTTTCACTTAGCATTTAGAGGTTTAGCATTTAGCTGCCACAACAGTAACACCAACACTGATTCTAATCTTAACCGCTAACATCAAAGTCAGCTTTTTCACAGAGACCAACAGACACAAACTAAAATCTTCTTGAAAGAATAGGCTGTCAATAGTTGGCCCTCACAACCACAAGAATAGCACACACACACACACACACACACACACACACAAACCTGTTGTGCAGCCCTGTTCCCATCTGATAACATCTCTCTTAATGATTTTTTTCCACAGCTGAAGCAATTTTGTTATCCTGCTTCATGTCAGCCGTGAAGATAGTCAGGGGAGTTAATTTTTTCCCATGTGATTATTTTAACATTTTCTCACGAATGTGTTTGAATAAACCTGTGCAAGCCTCGACTCAGATTACCATAATTACTATCCTATCCAGAGATATGTTTGTCTAAACCAGTGATTTACCAGCCACGAGCCAGTTTTTACACTAGATTGCTCTCTATATTAACATATAAGAAATTAGTTTATTTTTCCTACTGATCTTGATGATTCTCATTCTCCCTCGAGTCCACTTACATCCCCCTGTTTATATGGTGTGCGAACACTTGTGGTCTTGAACAAACCTTGACCCCAGACTTTCAGGAGGGCAGATGTGAAATGGAGCTCTTCACTCTTACTCAAGGCATCTTATCTTCTCTCTCTAAATCTCTCCTTCAGTCTTTCAATCAATGGTATGCAATCAGGTGAGCGAGGCTCTCTGACTTACATTGATACTTGTATTTAAATGAAAGGAGATCATTTTGTTGCAGCGCTACATCCATCCTCAATATATTCAACAATCCCACCGCATTGGGAGTATGGCTGCTAGGCATCAGTATCAAGAACGTGGTGTCAGTGCTTTATATGTGTTGCCACATTGAGCTAAAGAAATGAATAACTGATGACCTTTCAAACCATTCATCTGTGTACTGTTTGATTTATAAGTTTATAAAATAGAAGGTAATACTGTCTTAAGCTCTGAATATTTTGCATTTTTCAGATAGTATTCTCAGTGTCTGACAGTATTTCATCACAGCCCCTGATGTGTGTTTATTGAACATGTTTGTGTGTACTTGCAGCTTCCAGGTGCATCAGAGTTCATGCTGAGTGAGAAGCTCATATGAGATTGTGAAACAGTTCTGCATTGTTGTGTGATCTGCATGCTCTGTTGTTGTTGTTTTTTACACTCATCCACTAGAGGCTGTGGGACGTTATGTTGTGGTCTATGCTCAGATGCGTTCCCTGGTGTGTGTGTGTGTCCAAGGTGAACACACTTAAACACGCAAATCAGTCCGTGGTCATATTTACATCTGACAGACTATTCTGATACCCTGGTGTTTTGAAGTCATAAAGTTGTAACGGACTGTGGGGATGTGTGATACTCAGAAGTGTTTGCAGAAGATACAGACACCCCTATCTGCACCTGCACAACCTGCAGAGCTGATTTCATCTGTGTGACAGCTTCACTATTTTTTTTTACACACACACACACACACACACACACACACACACACACACACACACACACACACACACACACACACGTAACTGTGTCATTTACTTCTAATGAAATGTATGAAATTAATTCTCCTTATGTACTTTATGTATAGCTTTGGCAATATTGTTGCTATACATTCATGCCAAAAAAGCTAATTTGAATTTGAGAGAGAGAAAAGATGTTTCAAATCAGCAAAACAAAACTAAACTAAACAAAAACACAAATAAAAGATGAATTGTCAACTTTAGTATATGGAAGAGAATATGTTTAGTCAGAGTAGTCCTCTGTCTGTCGCACATTCATCTTAATTAGTGCAACGCTGAGAGAATGTGGTTCAGTTTACATCTAACAGATGGTCAGTATCAAACAGCTGGCAAAGCTTAAAAAAATGTTTCATTACCCATTTTTCAGTGTCAGATAAACAACATGAAGCTTTAGGTCTAAACTAAAACCACTGTTTGTAGAAATAAAATAAATTGCATAGTTCATTTTCTTGATTGGTGGAGAAATAATAACTTCAATTATTACTTATTAAAGTAAATTAGCCTCTAATCTACTGTATGGGCTTGTGTACAGAGGATCGTACATCCAGAGCAGCAGAGAAATACTCTCATCTTTTAAAAATACTCCAATTTAAGATGTCTGTGAAGATTCTCAGTCATCTAGGTCATAGTTATACTCCAATTTAAGAAAATATTCTAAATTCAAAATACACATGTTAAGGAGTATCAGCAAAAATGTACTTAGAGTATTAACAGTAACATTACTCATTAGGCACAGATGCCCCTTTCAGAGTATTATATAATTATATAATTGATATTATTGGATTATTACTACTGGCACATTAACATGTAAGCAGCATTTTAATGTTGTAGGTGGCTGAGGTGGAGCTTATTGTAACTACTTCATAGACTGTTTAGTGGCTTGTACACCGTATCTTAATTTATATCATGATTATATATTGATGCAAAATCTTTTATCAATAACTGGTAGGCTAACTACATCAGATGATTGACGTGAAATAAAAAGTACAACATGTCCCTCTAAAATGTAGGGGAATAAAAGTATAAACATAAAATGGAAACACTCAAGTAAATGACAAGTGTCTTAAAATTGTGGTTGAGTACATGTACTCAATCATATTCCACCACTGATGCTGAAGCAGAAAACAAAGAGCGACACATGTCCTGAGATGCCAACTATATATGTATGTGCATGGACCAGAGCCTCTTCCCTGATAATTTTCAGCAGGGGCAGCTTGAAATGTAACTTCTATTCTTTCTCTTTCACTAAAATCAGACTGAAGAGCCCTATTCTTTTGCGTTTTCATGAAGCACTATACTAGTCTCTCTGTCTTTATCTCAATTGTCTTCAACTAAATTAAATTAAATTCACAAACACTAAAAAGTGTTAGGAAATTGTTATGTTATTGAAATCTGAGAATACAAAATTGTAGGAGGAAGTGCATCTCTGTCTCAGCCTCATCTGTGGAACAGTGACCACATATTGTGTTTTCTTTTTGGCTGCCATAATTTTTTGTGTCTTCCTTTTTCGATTGCCAGTTTGTGGTCACTAAGCCTGTACTTGGCTAAGATCTGTCTTTTCTTTTGATTTTATCTCTGACAGCAGAGGTGTTCTGCCATTCATAATAGATTGTCCAGATAACATTTAGAACTGCTTTTAGTTTCTTCTTTCCAGTGTTCCCAATGTGTGTCTTGACATTGCGTGGTAATTTGGTTTATTCTGATTGGTGTTGGGAAAGGAGTGAAAGGAGTGAGACTGTCCAGTGTCTCTCTCTCTCTCTCTCTCTCTCTCTCTCTCTCGCGCGCGCGCGCGCTCCATTGCCCTCACTCCCTCTATTCCGCTCTCTATAGATTAACAAATCGTATCAAAGAAAGAGCAGTGCTGTTGGGAATAAAGTTGAAGGAGGAAGGAGAAGAGTGGAGATGCTGCCGACACATTCTGCTCAGCACCACGGACAGCGAACGATTGGTAGTTTGGACACAAACGATCCATCGATATTGGACAATAACTGAAGAATCAGAGGACTGAACTAACAATGAGGAATATGGTTCGTTTTAATCTGATTACACAGAGACTTGGTCTTTTTCTCTGCTAGCCAAAGTAAGCATGTTCTTGTCTTGATCTCTGAACAAATAATTAACTTATAGTGTATACGTAATTTAGAAACATAGATTTCAAATTGGGAGTACAACGAGTCATAAAGCATAGAGTTGAGATACCACTTGTGCAGGCATATCCTACATTAAACAGTATCGACTACATTCATAGCACATGCATTATTACAGAGCTTCTAGTCAAGTGGGGCTGCTGTGCGTAAAAGCCGTGGCACTGTTCCCTGCGATGCTCCCGCTTGGCGCAAGACACAGCGGATGAACAGAAGAGACGTCAATAATCAGACATCTGACTGCGATTACATCTGTGGTGGTTCATTAAAAACAAAGATTTCTAGTGCGTAATTACGGATAGGACTCCTTGTTGGAAACTTGTCAGAATGCCAATTTGTTCTTATTGGAGATGGCTTATGGCGCGCGGTGCGCATGAAGAAGACACACACAAGGTATTTCCAGGAAAACAGTACCGGTAGGCGAACTAATCGTGTTCTTCTTTGCGGTAAGCGCGCACGCGTGCATTTTGAGTCACTCTTTCGTGCACAAACACACACTTAACACTTAAGGTCAGGTGGGCCGAACCACTTTTTCTTAGTTTGTGTGTGTTGGCTGTTGAATCTCCTCGTGTTTCTGTTCCAAAGTATGGATGGAAACTAACATGGCAGAAGTAAAGACCTTCTTTGTCTAAATCAGTGAAAACACAAGGAAACAAATCTACATCTGGACTGGCGACATTTATCCTCTCTGAAACCCACAATGGAGCCCCTAGACCAGACCTACTGGTTTCCCCTGTCATCAGACCTCAACTCCTCTGCAGCCAGCCCCTCATCCTTCCTCTTTTCCTACCCCTACCTCTTCAACATCTCCTCCAACCTGTCCACTCAAAGCGTCCCCTTTCAGGGCAGCAGCACTCTGATGACAGCAGTCATCTCCCTCACAGTCTTCATGGTGGGTCTTACTGGCAACACTCTAGCCATCTATGTGGTGCTGCGCTATGCCAAAATGAAAACAGTCACCAACATCTACATCCTGAACCTGGCTGTGGCCGATGAGCTCTACATCATCGGGCTCCCCTTCCTCACCACGCAGAACGTGCTCTCCTATTGGCCGTTTGGCTCCTTCCTGTGCCGTGTGGTCATGACGGCAGACTCTATGAACCAGTTCACCTCGATTTTCTGCCTGACAGTCATGTCCATAGATCGTTACATGGCCGTGGTTCATCCAATCCGCAGCACCAAGTGGAGACATCCCCGCGTGGCCAAGGTGGTGAGCGCAGCCGTGTGGGCCGTGTCCTTTGTGGTGGTCCTGCCAGTGGTCATCTTCTCTGATGTTCAGGTATAAAGTTCATTGCCGGTCTCTTTCCGGTCTCCACTTTTTCTTTTTAGATGCAAATTAGCTTCGATGGTAGCTGCCCCTGATTAAAAAAATTTTAATTTTCTACTCTGTCCAGTCAAAACTTCATATGGTACCCACCAAACACAGTAAGTTGAGCCCTGTAGTTCCCTCATATTGACATGAATGAAATAATTTAAATTATCCAGTGCTTGGTAGTTTTACATTAGACCTATGTTTTAGTTCATTGACTACAAATTCACCACTTTCAACAAAGCAAATTATGCGTTTTCATATCACTTCTAAAAGAAAGAATTTATTTTACTGGCTGTATTAAGATTAAAATCTCTTTCTCTTGTCTGTACGTAAAAATGTAGGTAAAGCCAGCTGACACCTAGCTTAACTTAGCACGAAGACTGGAAATGGGGAAAAATAGTGTCAAAGTTGCGTTAGTGGTAAAGTTGCAAGATGAAACTGTTTTAAAACCTTTAATTGTTTGTGCGCTCACATCTGTAATTTACAGAGTTTCCTGCCACTCCTAGTGATATCTGAGTTGGGTGATAGTCAACCCCTATTGTTCTCCTCAACTTTATGGGGTGTTTTAGCGTCTTTCAGCTCATTGTTTTGATTCTATGGCTCAGAACTTTACTGGCGACTTGACTAACAGTTAGTTAGCTGGTGAACATGGAGTATTTATCTGCTAAAGAGCCAAATATTTTCCTCCCGAGTTGATGGAAACCAAAACAGAGCTAGGAGAGTGAATATTAAACTTATATTTGCCAGCAGGTGGCCATAAATACAACTCTAAAATAATGTTGTTCGTATCTCTTGGATGTATGAAGTTCATCATATGAACTTCAGGGTTAAGTGTTTAAGCTTTAGTGACATCTAGTGGTAAGCGCGTAGAATCTCAAAGGTGGCGACACAGGACAAAAGATGTTGTCTTCTGAGACAGCAGAGAATACACAGTCAAGAATTTAGGTTTGTTTAGATAGATATATTAAGAAATTATAATGTTAAATTATTTTTACTTAATTATTCAGTTAAACCATATGTTAGTCCATCATGATGTCGCATACTCCTATAATAAATTATTTTACTGTACTGTAACAATGGATTTTGTTACATCTTGTGAGGTAAGTATAACCACTGACAGATAACAGGAAAATGTAAGCCTCATCGTTTCTGTACCACAGTCCATTATAAACCACATAATAAGTTTACAATGGCACAGCCAATTGAGGATCAAGGCTCCTCTCCAATAATATAATATAATAATAATTTCATCTTGCGGTAAAATGGTGCAACGTTTTTAATGGGCATTTAACATGTTAATTATCAAATTACACATTTGTGTGCACAGTAGCAAAGCAATAGCCTACAAACAAATACGTTTTTAGAAAAATGTAAATTCTGAAAGTACAGGTATTATTGGTGTCTTGATTGGCACATGGTCATGTTATCATAAAGCTGTTAACAGTAAAAATAAATATGTGTTTTCCAGAGCAGTAAAATGTGAAGTTTAGCTGGCTGATCTGAGCTTCCATGCTACACAGTTTTATTGCCAATAATATTAATCAGCTGATTATCTCACAAACGTAATGCAAAGCCAAAACACAGCGCTGAAGATTAACTACATGAAATTACAATCCAACGAAGTATCATGTCTATCAGGGCAGTAAAAGTTTAGCTGTCTAATCTGATCTTCCATGCTGGAAGCTACCGTTTTATTGGCAATAATATTCATCAGCTGATTGTCTCGCGAACGTAACTGGCACATTTTTTTGTTCGCGTATCAAAGCCAAAACACAGCACTGGAGAACAACAATACATGGATTTAATCCAACTACTTATTACTACTATCATTACTACATATTTATAACCCCTGACAAGGGAAGACTTTCCTTCTCTCTGCTTCTAGCTAAAGGTATCAAACAACAGTTTTGCTAAAGTTGGACTAAATTAATTACTTGTCCAGCGGAAGAAAGCAATTTCAGCGCCGCTTTGAAAAGAACTACTGTAGAAACATGGAACATGTAGACCTCCATGCTGAATGGTTCATTCTAAGTAATTGAAACATAACGGTTCATTATGTAAGGTTTTTATACAACACCGAAAACATAGTTATGGATATTATATTGCATTTTTGTGAATAGATCCTCAGAAATATTACACACTGAACATTTAAAAGCTGATAATATGTTAGAGCCGTGTTTACAACTTTAGTGGCCAAAAATCTTTTAATACAGGTTGAAGACTCCAGAGGTGTTAACTGCGTGGTCTGCTTGTATGTTTTGGTGTTCACTGCTAGACGTGAAGGGCTGTGATGGAAAGAATATGCAAGCTGTTCATAACGGTGTTATATGTTCACAGAAAGAAAAGCATTGCAGCAAGTTCTGTAACAGTAAGAAAACACAAAAGCTTTTAGAAGAAAGGTAGAAGGAGAATGTCAGTGCTGTGCTGCTGAAGGCCAGTGGTTTGATGACAACAGGAAAAAGAAAGGCCCTGTCAGCTAAAAAAGTTACTAGTTGGTTGGACAGCTATTTCTTGTTAACATACAAAGTAAACACGGTAAGACCTGGAAATGTCTTGCACTATGAAAAATGTACTTCTTTAAAACCCACAAAAGCAGATAATGTAATTTGCATTTTCCCAAACATCCCTACATGCATTATTTAAGAAAATTAAGAAAATGTTTACCTCCTATATTTTATTCACTCTGTGACTGAGCATAATGACTGAAATATCAATTTGCTGTAGTTATTTTCTTTAATATTTAAATTTTAGTCTGTTTTTTTTTTCAATATCCTTTAGGACACATTTAACTCCTGCAACATGATCTGGCCAGAGCCAAAGAATGTGTGGTCAACAGCATTCATTCTCTACACTGCCACAGTGGGCTTCTTTGGGCCGCTGCTTATCATTTCCCTCTGCTATCTACTTATCGTTATCAAGGTGTGTATATGTGTGTGAGTGAGGCTGATTAAAACATATCATATACAAATTCATTCTATGATCTGCATCAACATAATCATTATTTCCATCATCCTCAACATCCTGCATCTCATGTTCATCATCATCATCATTATCACTCATCAAAATTAATCAATTTTTCCTGCAGGTGAAGTCCTCAGGGGCGAGGGCAGGCTTCACCAAGCGTCGGCGTTCGGAGCGCAAAGTGACAAGGATGGTGGTGGTGATCGTGGTGGTGTTTGTTCTCTGCTGGCTGCCATTCTATATCATCAACATGGTCAACCTGGTGGTCATCATCCCAGAGTCCAGCACCACTGCCGGCATTTACTTCTTTGCTGTCATCCTGTCCTATGCCAACTCCTGTGCCAACCCGGTACTCTATGGCTACCTGTCGGACAACTTCAAGCAGAGCTTCAGAAAAGTAGGCAGTGTAAAAACTGTATAAAGACTAAACTTAAAGAAATTTGGGAAATACGTTACGTTAGTATACATTGGATGAGGCAATTGATACCAATCACAATTCAAAAAGAAGCTACAGCCTGCAGCCGTTAGCTTAGCTTAATAAATACTGCATAAATAAGCATAAATACTGAGGCAAAAAATCCACTTAGGAGTGCATTTAAAACTTGCTAATTAGCATGTTATATCTCGTTTGTTTAATCCTTACAAAAAAGTAAGTGTAAAAACAAGATATTGGGGATTATGTGATTATGACTATTTCTTGGCTGGAAGCAGTGACTGCCTGGAGGTGAAGCCAGAGTCTCAAACTATTCATACACATTGCAGTAGTTTAAACGCTCTCATTTCCCTCTTGTACTGTATTGGAATAAGGTTATACAGTTTATGTATGCTTGAGTTTTCAGACCTCAGACCTTCACAGGATCTCTGTATACTATTTTAAAATATATTTTTACCATCTACAGGTCAAGAGTCATCACAGCATGCACATGCAGGACAAACAGATGATAAAACGCTTTCTCTGTCAGCCAGTCCCCATTAGAGAGCAGCATATTGCGATCCTAGGCACAGGACTCATGTCAAAATTTAAAAATATGTTTTTTTGTGTGTTTCTGACTGATTATTTGATCAACAATAGATCTGACACCATGATTGTAGCGTATAATCAAATACCGATGCCTTTTCTTTCCGCCCCTCTGTGTCTCATTTAGATGCACAAGGTACCCTACCTTTTACACTGTTGACTTTTGGTTTCACACAGGACACAAAAGTCCTGTGTTTGTTTGACCGATCTATCCACCTCTTTCTCGCCCTGTATACCTCACCAGATTTCCCAAAGGTACTCTTTATGAGTCTCATGCGTAAGGATACATAGATTTGGGTATGGTAATTCTTATTTGTTCAGAAAATGTGTTGACTCTAAGCTAACCAGAACAAAACACTAAGCATTGTTGGAGGTGTGTTTGAGCAAACTGGTTGTCGAGCCCACTGTTTAATGTCCTTTTAAAGTGAATGCAGATGCGTATGTAAAGTATGATTTTGTCAGAATATGGGTAAAAAGAAAAAGGAGTAGTAAAAGGCCAAAACTCAAACTAGCTGTGTAGCACGGCTTACTTGTTAAATTATCTTGCACAGCTATCCATAAACTTGTTATTTAAGGTTAACATAAAACCATTATGTGTAGCATTTGGGAAATCCTTACTTTGGCAATGTCCATGTGGTCCATGTGGTATCCAGAATGACAGATCTGACCTGGGTACACCTTTTCAGCCGGATTGTCTGATTTATCAACAAAAAAAGCTTATGTCATAGGAATAATATGAAATTTGCTAAAAGATCCAAAATACTGGCCATACTCTTATTTTCTGAGATTCAAAAGTCACAAATGTACCCACTTTTTTATTGTAACTTTACCACTTACACTCACCTAAAGGATTATTAGGAACACCTGTTCAATTTCTGATTAATGCAATTATCTAATCAACCAATCACATGGCAGTTGCTTCAATGCATTTAGGGGTGAGGTCCTGGTCAAGACAATCTCCTGAACTCCAAACTGAATGTCAGAATGGGAAAGAAAGGTGATTTAAGCAATTTTGAGCGTGGCATGGTTGTTGGTGCCAGACGGGCCGGTCTGAGTATTTCACAATCTGCTCAGTTACTGGGATTTTCACCCACAAACCATTTCTAGGGTTTACAAAGAATGGTGTGAAAAGGGAAAAAACATCCAGTATGCGGCAGTCCTGTTGATGCCTTGTTGATGCTAGAGGTCAGAGGAGAATGGGCCGACTGATTCAAGCTGATAGAAGAGCAACTTTGACTGAAATAACCACTCGTTACAACCGAGGTATGCAGCAAAGCATTTGTGAAGCCACAACACGCACAACCTTGAGGCGGATGGGCGGAAGACCCCACTGGGTACCACTCATCTCCACTACAAATAGGAAAAAGAGGCTACAATTCGGAAGAGCTCACCAAAATTGGACAGAAAAATGTTGCCTGGTCTGATGAGTCTCGATTTCTGTTGAGACATTCAGATGGTAGAGTCAGAATTTGGCGTAAACAGAATGAGAACATGGATCCATCATGCCTTGTTACCACTGTGCAGGCTGGTGGTGGTGGTGTAATGGTGTGGGGGATGTTTTCTTGGCACACTTTAGGCCCCTTAGTGCCAATTGGGCATCGTTTAAATGCCACGGTCTACCTGAGCGTTGTTTCTGACCATGTCCATCCCTTTATGGCCACCATGTACCCATCCTCTGATGGCTACTTCCAGCAGGATAATGCACCATGTCACAAAGCTCGAATCATTTCAAATTGGTTTCTTGAACATGACAATGAGTTCACTGTACTAAAATGGCTCCCACAGTCACCAGATCTCAACCCAATAGAACATCTTTGGGATGTGGTGGAACGGGAACTTCGTGCCCTGGATGTGCATCCCACAAATCTCCATCAACTGCAAGATGCTATCCTATCAATATGGGCCAACATTTCTAAAGAATGCTTTCAGCACCTTGTTGAATCAATGCCATGTAGAATTAAGGCAGTTCTGAAGGTGAAAGGGGGTCAAACACAGTATTAGTATGGTGTTCCTAATAATCCTTTAGGTGAGCGTAAATCTCAGAGAATATCCATATTTTGTATTATGTTAATCTCTTGATTTATTTCTCAAATATTACCCTCCCCTGGCTCAGTAAAGTTTTTATTTCTTTTTTCTACGGCTCTAATAGGCCGTTGTAAAAATGTCTCAATTCTGACCTCTCTTATTTTCTGGCTATTGTCATTCCTGGAGTTCTATTTCATTCTTCTGACCACCAGACAGCAGTGCTTTAGCACTGGATATTTCCATTTCGCAAATGCAGGTCTAGTCGTTATACCAACAAAGTCACCTGTGACCACGTGATAACAAAGGGAGCACGCCCTAGTATAAAACTCTAACATCTTCACACAATCTGCTCCTTCCATCTTCTTGCTATTTAAGACACTAATGGCAGATCAATATAACTCGTCGCTTCTAGTCTCGTAACTTGGGGGTTTGTTTTACATCCACCAAAGGAAGCTGTTTTTTTCTCTTAAATGTCATTAGCTGATGCACACCAGTGACCTTGCCAACTTATGTACTGTTAGACAGGTAAATAAACAATACTTCTGGTTGGACATCTAACGTTAGTGTAAAGAGTTGTGTTGAGAGCCGGTGGCTTGCCAGATCTGCTTCGTTTTTGTTTGACCATGTTCATATAGTAGTTATCTTAAAACAGGGGTATATTTGCCTCTAGCTGAGCTGCGTGATCCGCTGCCTTGTTAGTTCTCTGCTCTTGGAGTGATACAAAATCTTTAGGTGGTAAGTTACTAAGGTAGTCACATTTGTAACTCATGGATGGCCAGGTTCGACAATCTTACCATACCTTGACAATTGGCAAACCATTTTTGTTTTTAAATGTGGCCTCTTTCTCGGGCTGCTGGGCATGCTCACAGCAGCATCCATCGTCATCCCTCTAGGTCTTCTTTCCTTACCTCCTCCACTTTGATCACAAAATGCACAGGGGGAGTGTCAGTGTCTTTGTTGCCAGACCTTGGAGCCTTGGAAAAACAAGATGTGTCTGACCAAGGGGGTTCCTCTGGGAGTAATCCCCTCTAGCAGAGAGGATGTGGAGAACCTTCTCGATTGAGTTAGCGTGCAGTCTGGCAGCGCAGGACCATTGAGGGCTCATGGAGTGGGCAGCAGCTCTCAAGCTCACATCTGGCACTGCAACACTTTCTCTGGGCACTGAAAGCCTGGCATGTTCTCATCTGGGCAGTCAGCACCTCTGCAGTATATCGTTAATCATCAGACACCAGGTTTCTTTGCTATGGGGGTATCAAAACTGAAACTCTCCAATTGTTTGTGCATGTGATGCTACTCACTTGTAGGTCACAAGGCCTACCTGCACCTAGTAACTTGGAGTGTGTCCACGTTCCGGGTAACCTTAAAAGTGGTCTCTGCGACCTAGGAGTCTTCATGTTCCTTTGCTTGCTATTACAGTGTCAATGCGGCTGCTCCCAACAATGTGGCAATGGGCGTCCTGTCAACAGCATCCACTCCTTTGTATGGTTTGCATGAGCTGTAACTTTCCATATAGCACAAGCTGCCAGCACTCTTTTCTGCCCTCTCCATATCAGGTTCTCTGGGCAATTTATGGCCCTAATGCTAATCTCTATTGGTGGAGACTGAGTAGTCTTTTTATAAAGTCATTTATCAGTGCCACTTTTTGTGAACTAACCAATAACAGCCTGGATGGGGCAGGACCTTAAAAAAAGTTTGGCATGCTACAGCAACCTTTCGCAATAGTGACCATGTTGTTATGCATGAATGGTTATGATTATGATAATAAATTAGTACTAGTATTCATAAATTAAAGACTAAACACCAATGTAGACCATTTGTCTTACGCAAGGATTTAATGAATGAAAACAACCCACAAAAATGAAACTGCTGTATTGTCCAACTAAAATTAATATTGTACTAGTGGTAAGCTATATAGTATACTATTATCTGAATTTGTAATGAATACAGTAATATTAGACCTAATCCTACTCAAACAGTTTTATTTGCGAAACAGTTGAATTGTTGAATCTCAACTAATAGTCTGTTGAAATGTTACAAATAGGATAGTAGACCACACCACCGTGTGAATGGGGAGTACTGGAACCAGTTTTTTTCCACTTAAAGCACAGGTGATGAGGTTATGGTTTTATACTTCTGTATGCGGCCTTCTTCCTCGCATGGTCACAGGTGACTTTGTTGGTATCGCGACTCAACCTGTGCATAAGCGAGATGGAGATAACCAGTGCTAAAGCGCAGCCGTCTTGTGGTCATCCATAATTCATAGAACCGCAGTTACATTCGTAAGTCTTGATTTCTGATGCAGCTCCAGAGCCTAAAGATAACTGTTGTTGTGGACCTGCAGGTGCTGTGTATGAGGAGTATGAAGTGCAAGGCGAGTGGTGTAGATGATGGTGACCACAGCGCTCCGCGCACAGAGAAAACCACAGCACACGACTGTGTACCGCTTTCCCCTCGTAACCAGGTCTACCATGATCCTCAGAGCAGCCAGGTACTATGTGTGTCTGTGTGTTGTTTTTGTTGTGTGTGTATGTAGCAATGTATTTTTTTTTTTGACCAGATGTTTATACTGGTCATACTGGACGCATCATATTCATATCTATCCCTTACTGTTTATTTATGTACACAGTACCTCTATACGTATGTACATTACTCTGCACTTGACTGATTTCTCCACTTCTAATTACATGCTAAATGGTCTTAAAACTAAAATCTAAAGATTTACGTTATGGTGACTTGCATTTTGTTCCCAAAAAGAAGGCCGACAATGTGACTGTGCGCCCCGATTTATTTTCTCCACAATATGAGTAATACAGGCTGACACACACAGACACACTGCAGCTCTCTGCATCACTAATGAGTCGATGAACAGGCAGTTGTGTGTGTGCATGTTTGTGTGAGAGCAGCTAATTGAAGAAGGAAGGTAAATTAATGCTCCTGTGGAGGCAAAGGAAAATTCTGAAGGCGGGAGTGAAAGATTATGAGATTTGGTTAATGTGTGTGTGTGTGTGTGTGTGTGTGTGTGTCAGAAAGGGCAGTCAGGAAAGGAAAAAGCTTTGACTCAGTCTCTGGAACATGGGGCTTCAGAGTGTCCAATTAGGTAATTGTGTACAAGAGCAATGAGGTGCATTTGAGTGGCTCTGATGAGACTCTCGCAAAGCTCCTTCAACTGTTTCAAGGTTATTAAAACAACCCCCTCCATAAGTCAGAGTTAGAATAAATGTTAGAGTCCAAGTGCTCAATTATTGATGTATGGATCTCTGATTATTCTCACATCGTTATTTTAAGTCATGTCTCCATCTTCACGTGATCAGAAATTCCTTGAGAAGTGCACACCATTTTTTCATATTGACAATGTCAATCTCATTTTTTTTACTGGTATGTACACTGGAATTTTTAGTTAAACTGTGAGCTTTCATTTGTTCACATACATGTACACAAATCATTTAAGTTTTGTTTCAGGCATGATCTCTCTCTATCCTCCCAACCAACAAATAAGTCTTGATATGAGTTGGCACAAGGAGTGGCGGCTGGTGCATTTTCTTCCAGACGGGGCTGCTATAACAAAAATCCAAAAATCCAAAGCCTTACAAAGTAGTTTTGATGCCAAAACCTAACCAAACTGTGACCAAACGTTAACCATGTGTTTGAAAGCCTCGGGTTAGGCTCAATGATAGAAATGGCCTTGTTTTACCAATTTAACCAATTTGGATAATCAGTAAAGATGTTTTTTCTTTACTTGATTTTTGCTCATTATCATGAAAGCTACATAAAAAATCTCTTACTAAGGTTTCTTAAAATTACAAAGATCGCGCAGATCTTCTGAGAATTTCCTTATTTAGCTTTCAAAAACATGTTCTCTAACTATTCTCTGCTCTGCTGCTCTGAGGCCTCAATAAAATGTGTGTTTTTTTGAAAAATTATAGTGTTAAAATCACGTTTGGCTATTGTTAGGATCGATAATACTATTTTTATTGGTTCTTTAGCAGTACTCTTATTGTTTTTTTTCATTACTTAAAGTGTTTTTAAAAATATATATAAAAAAATAGGCCTACATTCAGAACAGGATTAGTATTCAAATATTTAAATATAACTAAAACTATAACTATCTGTTGTTTCTAGAGCTGCAACAGGAACAGAGTCACTATATACTGTATGCTTTGTACAGGTTTACATGTTTATACTTGCTTAAACAAGTCGCTTGTCTGAGTTGAAGTAACATTAGCGATGTTGATCTTAAACGCTGCCTAATGTGATATTGGAATAATCAGAAAAAAATGGATGTGCGACCATAAAGCAATATTTTAGTCGAAACAGATATAAACGTTTGAATGTTCTGAGCAATAACATACATCTTCTTTGTAACGTCCATGTTGTTTCCATATTACTTAGATGCTCATAAACACACCAAAGTCAAAAGAACAATTTCCCAAGTCAGGAGATGGGACCATCCAAGGAGCATGTGAATGCAACAGGTTAGTGCTCTGAATCAGAATCAGAATCAGAAGGAGCTTTATTGCCAAGTAGTGTTTTACACATACGAGGAATTTGCTGTGGTGATAAGGTACTACACATAGACAAACATACAGTCAACATAAATAAAGGTAGAAATATATAAATATGGAATGGAAGAACAACGTTACAGATACTGTGGGTATGGAAAGTATTCAGACCCCTTTAAATTTTTCACTCTTTGTTTCATTGCAGCCATTTTCCAAAAATCAAAAAAGTTCATTTTATTTCTTAGTAATGTACACTCAGCACCCCATCTTGACAGAAAAAAACAGAAATGTAGAAATTTTTGCAAATTTATTAAAAAAGAAAAACTGAAATATCACATGGTCATAAGTATTCAGACCCTTTGCCGTGACACTCATATTTAACTCAGGTGCTGTCTATTTCTTCTGATCATCCTTGAGATGGTTCTACACCTTCATTTGAGTCCAGCTGTGTTTGATTATACTGATTGGACTTGATTAGGAAAGCCACACACCTGTCTATATAAGACCTTACAGCTCACAGTGCATGTCAGAGCAAATGAGAATCATGAGGTCAAAGGAACTGCCTGAAGAGCTCAGAGACAGAATTGTGGCAAGGCACAGATCTGGCCAAGGTTACAAAAACATTTCTGCTGCACTTAAGGTTCCTAAGAGCACAGTGGCCTCCATAATCCTCAAATGGAAGACGTTTGGGACGACCAGAACCCTTCCTAGAGCTGGCCGTCCGGCCAAACTGAGCTATCGGGGGAGAAGAGCCTTGGTGAGAGAGGTAAAGAAGAACCCAAAGGTCACTGTGGATGAGCTCCAGAGATGCAGTCGGGAGATGGGAGAAAGTTGTAGTAAGTCAACCATCACTGCAGCAATCCACCAGTCGGGGCTTTATGGCAGAGTGGCCCGACGGAAGCCTCTCCTCAGTGCAAGACACATGAAAGCCCCCATGGAGTTTGCTAAAAAACACATGAAGGACTCCAAGATGGTGATAAATAAGATCCTCTGGTCTGATGAGACCAAGATAGAACTTTTTGGCCTTAATTCTAAGCGGTATGTGTGGAGAAAACCAGGCACTGCTCATCACCTGTCCAATACAGTCTCAACAGTGAAGCATGGTGGTGGCAGCATCATGCTGTGGGGGTGTTTTTCAGCTGCAGGGACAGGACGACTGGTTGCAATCGAGGGAAAGATGAATGCGGCCAAGTACAGGGATATCCTGGACGAAAACCTTTTCCAGAGTGCTCTGGACCTCAGACTGGGCCGAAGGTTTACCTTCCAACAAGACAATGACCCTAAGCACACCGCTAAAATAACGAAGGAGTGGCTTCACAACAACTCCGTGGCTGTTCTTGAATGGCCCAGCCAGAGCCCTGACTTAAACCCAATTGAGCATCTCTGGAGAGACCTGAAAATGGCTGTCCACCAACGTTTACCATCCAACCTGACAGAACTGGAGAGGATCTGCAAGGAGGAATGGCAGAGGATACCCAAATCCAGATGTGAAAAACTTGTTGCATCTTTCCCAAAACGACTCATGGCTGTATTAGATCAAAAGGGTGCTTCTACTAAATACTGAGCAAAGGGTCTGAATACTTATGACCATGTGATATTTCAGTTTTTCTTTTTTAATAAATTTGCAAAAATTTTTCTATCAAGATGGGGTGCTGAGTGTACATTACTGAGAAATAAAATGAACTTTTTGGATTTTTGGAAAATGGCTGCAATGAAACAAAGAGTGAAAAATTTAAAGGGGTCTGAATACTTTCCGTACCCACTGTATATATACATGTGCATTATTCTGGGTCTGTGCCGTGCAGAAGTAACGCAACGGAAGAGAATATTGTGTACATATAAATATATAAACTGACAACATGAAAATATACAACAACAAAGATCAACAATCAACAACACATATGTCCGACGTGCCAGGTCTGTGCCCGACACGAGATGGAACAGTATTTACATATGCAAAGACATTTGTATAATTTGCAAGGGGGAAGTGTCAGTAGGGGACCCGGGCCTTGTAAATGAGGCTAGCTGCAGACGGGAAGAAGCTGTTTTTGTGGCGAGAGGTTTTGGTCCTAATGGACCGCAGCCTCCTGCCTGAGGGGAGAGTCTGAAACAGTTTGTGTCCGGGGTGGGAGGGGTCAGCTGCAATCTTTCCTGCTCGCCTCAGAGTCCTCGAGGCGTACAGGTCCAGAAGAGAAGGAAGATTGCAGCCAATCACCTTCTCTGCAGAGCGAATGATACGCTGCAGCCTGCCCTTGTCCCTGGCAGTGGCAGCAGCGTACCAGATGGTGATGGAGGAGGTGAGGATGGACTCAATGATGGCGGTGTAGAAGTGCACCATCATTGTCTTTGGCAGGCTGAATTTCTTCAGCTGCCACAGGAAGTACATCCTCTGCTGGGCCTTCTTGGTGATGGAGGTGATGTTCAGCTCCCACTTGATGTCCTTGGAGATGATGGTCCCCAGGAAGTCGAAGGAGTCCACAGTGGTGACTGGGGAGTCACACAGGATGATGGGGAGGGTGGGGCTGTGCTCTTTCTGCACTTCTTTTACAACAACTCCGCACTTGAACAGTCTATGAAGTTACATTGCCGTGTTTATTTTAAATATAATTCACAAACAATAAAGCATACTTACAGGTTGTGACTGTGAATTTCCAGGCCCAAACAGAGTCGGAGTTGCGTCGTCTTTTAGGACTAAACGTTGAACTGTTGCCGGTGTTCTGACGATCTATGCTGCCTTGCCGAAAAATGCTACAAATCGCAAATCGATAGACTCGACTCTACTCGGCCCTGCTCCGTTTTCCATTGCAGATAGAACCCACAGATAGTACGTAGCTTGTCGTCATAGCGACGCCGCACACAACTGCCGTGACGTAATGTTCAATGCGACACACACACCAGGGATCCACACAGCTTTCTCTTTCTTAAGTTAAAACTTTCCACATTACTCAGAATGTAAAGACAGATAAACGGTATGAAAACCTTCCAGTTGTGTTTTCCTCTGCCGATGTTGCTGCAGCGGTCTGTGTGACGGCGGGAGCAGAGGGCTCTGTGAGCAGGCGGCTGGCCGGCCTCACACGCTCCTCCCGCGGGTTGGCACAGGCTTCCCCCTCAACTCCGAAAATATTCAATCACATTTTTGTTCCGCCATCACTTCTCATAAAACTGTTAATATTCGAAATCTGCACAGCTGATTTCTCACCTCAAAACTTCTCAGAAGTGGATTTAGTGATGAAATTCCATACGAAAACTGTAAAATATAAAACTTTCTGTTGCTGGCCTTTGTCTGGTGCACGCAATGATGATGCAGTGAATAGTGTATATTCTCTCTGACCAACCAGTCTGTTGTGTTTTCATGTTACATTTTAGTATCCCTCAGCTCGCTTGGAACTTCAATGGAGGTGAGGTGATACGAAAAAAAGTACCTGGAAGCAGGTACAAGTACAACATTTCTACAATGGAAAACCAAACAAAGGCGAGTCGAGCCAAAGGGCCTCTGCTCAGACTAGCTTGGTTTGAGGGCGTGCCTGACCCCGCTAGGCGCTTGTGATGTCGCGAGTAAAGGAGGTGAACGGCTGGACTAGAAACGAGCTCTTTTCAAGCAGTTCAGAGCAGAGCTTTCTGTGGGAGATGGGAACTCCCTTTGGGCAGGACTTTGGGCTTTTTCACTTTGCAAACCTGTTACATGCACAAAAAAGATATATAACTCAATAAAGCAGTGGAAAAAAGCCAAAAAGCATAATACCACCTCTTTAACTGCCAGATATTTCAATTGAAGATGCACAATATACATCTATACAATATTATTATTATTATTATTATTATTATTATTATTATTATTATTACTGTAAATGTCAGCCATGATAAGAAGGAAGAACATTAGAAAGGGTTGCTTGATGAGCAGTGGAGGAGAAGAGGTATAACATTATAATAATTTCAGGTCATGGCATAAAATAATGTATAATATCAAAGTTCACCACAGTGTATTATACGGTCAGTGCTCAATACAAAGCCCAAAGGTCAACCACCGACGAATGAGTCCTCATCTCAGTTCAAATCAGAGTCCAGGGCTGAGTTCAGCGGCAACAATACGTAGCAAAACGTTAATTCCAACAGAAACGGTGGTGCCTTGAACACACTGTTATGTACGCAAGTGTGCTGATTTTTACTGCCTTTTTAACACTGCTGTGTTTACAAACTGTGTTTCACAGCTGATTGGGTAACACGTCTTTGTAGCCCGTTCCACAGCATTACACAATGTTCCACAATGTTGCACAACGTTTCGAGAAAACATTCGTTCTGATCAATCAGAAAACGTTGCAGGTGCAACAGGTGCAAAATGTTTTGAGATTGAACTCGCCTCAGAAGTCAACTCAAACTTGGCCGACAAAAATAAAAACAAGTGACGCCTCTCGCGTCTAATTAACAAACATTGATTCTCTGACAACACTGGAGTTGCCTCTGGAGTTGCCTCTTGCTGGTAAAGCAGTGCACTAGCTGTCACGGACTGCACCCTGCACACAAAGGGAGTGGGGGAAAAGGTCAAAACAGAAATTGAAAATTCTAGTTGCATAACTAACGCATAAGAGTTAAGCCTTTATTGTTTTGGTGAAACCTGGTTACCATGAAAAGAGCAAGTACAGTTTAAAACACCGGTCAGAGTTTGCATTAGTATGTAATATTCATATATTAGTATTAGTAAGGTTTGCATTAGTAGTAACTTAATACAGCTCTGACACGGTGCAATGAGATTAAACAGTAAACAGTGAGGCAGATATCAAGATTTTATATCGAGATAAAATGACTATGGATTGCTGCATCATTTTTTGTGAAGCCCTCCTGTGTGATGGCAATTTAAATCCAGTGCAGGAATGGTGGACCCCACTTACAATGAACACTTTTATAAATACGAGTTATATATTTACTGAATGTAAGTACATTTAATGGCTGTTGCACAAAAAATGCCAACAGTAAATATATAAATGGGGTTTAATTTAATCAAAATCTTAAGGATAATAACTTTAACTTTATTTGCTCTGTATTTTATTGTATTTTTTTTTAAATAATATGTTGACTTAATTGTTGACGTACATCTTGCACATAATGTAATTTAACTTAAATATGTATTGTAACTGATGTAACGCATATATTTAAACCCAAACCATGATCTTTACCTAAACCTAACCAAGTAGTTTTGGCAGCTAAGCCTAATCAAACTGTGACGTTTTACAATGTTAATGGGTTCATTATTATGCAAGATTAGCGGCAGACAGATACATACACAAACCTACTACCGCACTACCACACTGTTGCAAAAAGAGTTTCTAATAGACTTGTTATTATTAAGCTTTTATGCCAAATCATATTGTTTCCTTGTGGCTTGTTTGCAAATCTTCTAAGGCCTTGAACTGGTCCGCAGTCCAGAAGTTGGAAACCTCTGCTTTAAACATTATGTGAACTCATCCAAGTACCTAGAGGTGAATTACCTTTCTTCTCTTTCTGCTTTCTGTTTCTACCTTTCCCTCCTTTTTAAAATCATCCCATGGTTTTGTTGTCTTCATTCTTTCTTTCTTTCCCCTCTTCCACAACTCTGGCCCTCTTCATCCTCCCTCTGAAGATATCTCATCACCCTCCAGGCTCACCTACCTCTCACACAGCAGCAGACCTGCACTGCTCCACCCCTACATGCCTGTCTCCATCCACTTGCCCAGGAATCAGACCCACCACTATGGTGACCTCCAAAGCAGCCTCCATAGTACCCTCTATGGTAACCCGGGCTGAACTTCCTACCATCACTGCGCTGACTACGCCCTCCTCCTCTTTATCCATTACTCCACCGGAACTGTAGCCAATGGACAATGAATGTCAGGTGTGTCAAGTGATACAAGAAGCTGAGGAGGAAAAACATGAAATGAGAATATACATGTGAAAGCAGAGGGGTTGGATTATCTGATCAATATGGCATGGCTTTTCTGCTGTTGTATTAAAAATATCTATTTGTTGGTCTATTTTCTGATACACACACATGAAAACTCATTCTAAATGCATTGCAATATTGACGCTTCGCATTGGTGAAACAACCTCATTAATACTTTTCTCGTCTTGATGTGTATCTGTACATGCATCTCTCAGCTGTTTACCAATTTGTGTTTCCATCCAGCCATGTAACATAAGTGCCTTTTCAATCAGCAATCATCATGGCTCCTGAATGGACACAGAAATATTTTTATGTGTTCCTTCTCTCGTTTTCTTAACAGGGAGACTTCTTCTTCAAAGTAAAAGACCCATAGAGTTATCTTAAAAGGGAACTGGGGCTGGTCACATAACACATAAGAATGTACAGTATATACATTTCAGTATCAATAAAGCCATTAAGGATCTACTTTATGCCAGGGGATAGGATTTCCTGCAGGTACCCAATGTCATAGTTTTATTTAGGTAAATCAGGCACCACAGGGTACATTTTTGCAACCACACTTTGTGATTAGATGAAAGGTGTTTGCCTATTTCAGCTTTAATCAAACAGCTAAACATCACAACACACTACTTCAGTGTCAACTTTTTTCTCTATTGTAGTAAAACAATGCATTTTTCCATTTCAAAGTCCCACTAACTTCTGCTGTCTTTACTTCATTTTAATAATTAAATTATGATGAATGACGTTGACATCTGTACGTCTTTGTGATACATTTTGTATACTGTTTGTATTTTCTGAACATGGTTTGCTTGCTGATTGTCAGCTTTTCAGTCAGAGGAAATGCTTTGACACAGGAAATGACTCTTTACCTGCTCAGTGTCATTCTGCAAACATGTAGCCAGCATTGAACACCTCTGACCTCTCTGTATAAATGCCTCTTAGTTTGCATCTTTGTGTATTTGCGTGTCATGTACATACGCTTGTGGCTGTTTTGCACGTATGTAGGTAGATATTTTGTTTCTGCAGAAGCAGTGATGCTGGAAAATACAGGGTTTATAGCAGCCACTGTTGTTGCAAAAAATATGTGACCATGCTTCGCTCAGCATGCTGTTTAATGTCCAGTAGATGGTATTTCTGATCAGACTAGCAGCACAGTAGCTCAGGTGGCATAGCCTCCATTAGCTTTGGCCTTACAAATGCTTATATTGCAAACCTGTCTGACCTTAAGCTTTTATTATGAAAGGTCCTGTGTTGTTGTTGGGACAGGATGGAGGAGATTATACCACAGCCACAGAAAATACGTCTTCGAATTGGCTGGTGGGTGCCCTTTAAAATGATGTAACCAATATGTGACCAATGCAGATAACCATAACAACAATTTTTCTGCTTTGTGCTACACTAGTGAAACGGGCCGAGACGTGAGTTAATTTGTCTATAAACAAACGTTAAATAAATGAGTGACCATTCAAACACAAAAGCACATCCATCTATTATTTTTGTATTTTGTGACAGAAAGTATTGCAGTGTTATCTCTTTTGTAAACAATTTCTATTCTATGGTCACTACACAACCAATACCAATACCAATACCAGTCATTGTGGTTAACGTTGTTCAATAAAAGCTCATTAGAATAAAATAAAGCTCAAATCAATGAGAATGAGCTTCTTGAGGTAACACATATTGGAGTGAGAATGAGTTTAGCAAATCTCAATGGTGAATGGCTGCGCTTTCTCAGCCACTTTCATCAGTGCAAAGAAAAGGAGAAAATTCATCAGTGGCACACAGGTTAAAAGACAGTGATCAGGTGAATATAATGAGTATTGTCAAGACAGAGAAACTAATGGAATCTGTCTCTGCAAGAAGACAAAAATCAAGGCTGTTCATAATGAAGGCTTTCACATGCAAATACAGATACTTTGGTGTATATTTTATCTGATTATTTATAGTTGTTCAGATGCTTCAGTGCCGTATGTCTGTTGGGTTTCTTTGAAATAAAATGGTGTGTTCAAAAACCTTGTGCTTGCTGCTGTCACACAAACACACGCATCCACAAACATCAATCAGTTCTTTTGAAAGTCTTCACTTTAAACCAGGTTGTGAGACAGACAGCATCAGATATGGAGAAGAAAGAGCATTTAAGTGACTTTGAACGTAGCATGGTTGTTGGTGCCAGACGGGCTGGTCTGAGTATTTCAGAAACGGCTGATCTGCTGGGATTTTCATGCACAACCATCTGAAAATATCCAGTGAGCAGCAGTTGTGTGGACGAAAATGCCTTGTTGATGTCAGATGTCAGAGGAGAAGAGAAGTTAGAGGTGACAGAAAGGCAACAGTAACTCAAATAACCACTTGTTACAACCAAGGTATGCAGAATACCATCTCTGAATGCACAACATGTCGAACCTTGAAGGAGATGGGCTACAGCAGCAGAAGACCACACCGGGTGCCACTCCTGTCAGATAAGAACAGGAAACTGAGACTAAAATTCACACAGGATCACCAAAACTGGACAATAGAGGATTGGAAAAACGTTGCCTCCTCTGATTAGTCTTGATTTCAGCTGCGACATTCAGATGGTAGGGTCAGAATTTGGCGTAAACAGCATGAAAGCATGGATCCATCCTGCCTTGTATCAGTGGTTCTGGCTGGTGGTGGTGTGGGGGATATTTTCTTGGCGCACTTTGGGCCCCTTAGTACCAACTGAGCATCGTTTAAACGCAGCAGCCTCCCTGAGTATTGTTGCTGACCATATCCATCCCTTTATGACCACAGTGTACCTATCTTCTAATGGCTACTTCCACCAGGGTAATGTGACAATGTCACAAAGCTAGTGGCTTTTGAGTGTATACATTGTATAGTAGTAAATAAAGGCCAGCATGATGCGCCTAACAGTCGTGCACGTGAATACATTTTTGATTAATAAAACAATTAATTAATAAAAACTGATTAAAAATTTATTTAAAAAAATTAATAAAAGTATTATTTTTTTAAATAACAATATTTTTTATAAAAACCAAAAAAAAAAAGAAAAAAAGATTGGGGTCATGGCTAGGTTGAACAACAAAGAGATGGGGGTGTGAAAATGGGTGTTTGTATTAGGTCATGTCCGGCCTTATCCTCTATTATACAAATAAAGATTATTATTATTATTATTAGCGGTGGTGGTGGGGAGTCAATCACCAAAAGGTGAAGAGGCGTGTGAAAAGGGGGGTTTGTGTATATGGGAGGTCCGGTGTTATCCTCTAAAAGCGGATGTTTGGGAGTGGCTTTAGCAATCGGTTGTATATATAGCAGGCTAGTTTTTCTGAATGAATGAAATAATCTCATTAAATACTCCTTTCTTTACATAGTTGAACGCGCTGACAAAAAAATCACACAAAAATTATCAATGGAAATTAAATTTATCAACCCATGGAGGTCTGGATTTGGAGTCACACTCAAAATCAAAGTGGAAAACCACACTACAGTCCAACTTTGATGTAATTTCCTTAAAACAAGTCAAAATGAGGCTCAGTAGTGTGTGTGGCCTCCACGTGCCTGTATGACCTCCCTACAACGCCTGGGCATGCTCCTGATGAGGTGGCGGATGGTCTCCTGAGGGATCTCCTCCCAGACCTGGACTAAAGTATCTGCCAACTTCTGTGGTGCAACATGGCGTTGGTGGATGGAGCGAGATATGATGTCCCAGATGTCCTCATTCAGGTCTGGGGAACGGGCGGGCCAGTCCATAGCATCAATGCCTTCCTCTTGCAGGAACTGCTGACACACTCCAGCCACATGAGGTCTAGTATTGTCTTGCATTAGGAGGAACCCAGGGCCAACCGCACCAGCATATGGTCTAACAAGGGGTCTGAGGATCTCATCTCGGTACCTAATGGCAGTCAGGCTACCTCTGGCGAGCACATGGAGGGCTGTGCGGCCCCCCAAAGAAATGGCACCCGACACCATTACTGACCCACCGCCAAACCGGTCATGCTGGAGGATGTTGCAGGCAGCAGAACGTTCTCCACGGCGTCTCCAGACTCTGAACCTGCTTTCACCCGTGAAGAGCACAGGGTGCCAGTGGCAAATTAGCCAATCTTGGTGTTCTCTGGCTAATGCCAAATGCCTGCACGGTGTTGGGCTGTAAGCACAACCCCCACCTGTGGACGTTGAGCCCTCATACCACCCTCATGGAGTCTGTTTCTGACCGTTTGAGCAGACACATGCACATTTGTGGCCTGCTGGAGTTCATTTTGCAGGGCTCTGGCAGTGCTCCTCCTGCTCCTCCTTGCACAAAGGCGGAGGTAGCGGTCCTGCTGCTGGGTTGTTGCCCTCCTACGGCCTCCTCCACGTCTCCTGATGTACTGGCCTGTCTCCTGGTAGCGCTTCCATGCTCTGGACACTACGCTGACAGACACAGCAAACCTTCTTGCCACAGCTCGCATTGATGTGCCATCCTGGATGAGCTGCACTACCTGAGCCACTTGTGTGGGTTGCTTCCTAAGTGGACAGTTTGATTTCACAGGAGTGTGATTGACTTGGAGTTACATTGTGTCGTTTTAGTGTTCCTAGTAGCTCAGTCTAATACTGAGGGCTACTGAGGTGATTTCGCCCAGGAGTGCCCTGGCTGACGCGCTGTTCCTTTCTCTTTGTGTTACCGTACTGTGTCGTTTAAGAATCTCCTGAATTTGTTGTTTTGCTTATTAATAAGTTTATTTGTTTTACCGTGCAGAGTAAAATGTCCATTTAGCCCATCCAGTTTCAACGGCAAAACCATATACATACAATCGACTGTCAAACAAAAGGCTTTTAAAACTCATGAGGGAATTGCAACATTTAGATCTCAGCCACGAACTAACACAGTGTTGACAGATGCCGTATTTGGCGCCACATCCTGCCGATGTTAATGTAGGGATGTATAATATATTTGTTTATACCGATATTGTTGATCATCAAACGGTAGGAGACAGTTACGTCCCTCTTTTAAGAATAGTACATATAGCGGGGCTAAACAACCATATGATCACAAATACTTATGACAGACCACACTATCTCAGGCTCTGCAAAACACACATTGATACTATTGAGATTTCTCTCAAGACAGATAAGAATCAACATATCTCTTTTACGTATGGCAAAGTGAAAATAATGCTACACTTTCGACCCATAAAATATCAGTATTAGACATGGAGTAAACATGTACCATCCATATGCTCACAATGCAGACAAATAAGTTGCATATTATACAGCCCAAGCAGGTGGCGATTTACCAGGATACTGTGGGCTCGGTGCTCAGTATGGTGCAGGGTTAGGGGGTAGGCTATCTTTAGGGGTCTGTTTAGATTAGCATTCCTCTTACTCAAGAAAGGATTTACATTTGTTGCCCCTCATTTAAAGACAGCTGCTAAAAACATAGCTATGGATGTTATTACTAACGTCATGAACAGACATCAAGAGGGGGCGGGTATAGTGGCCGTGGCCCTCCGACCAATAAAACGACCTCCTGGGAAAAGAGGGAGTTCCCCACCAAAGAGGCGTATCCAAACAACAAATAAGAAGACCCATACTAAGACTAGAAAAAATAAACAAGCAAGGAGAAGCAAGTCGACAAAACGTCAGAAGACAAGAGACATTTTCTAACAGGAATGTCGTTGGTACATAGCCCGTCACAAGAGTGCGTTATTTACGCCACATATGATTCTATAATTGAGATATCATCAAGAAGACAGGTTCTCATTGACTTTTTCTAACTTTAACAAACGATAGT